CCAGAAAGGGATTCACCTGGTGAAGCAAGACAAGTGACAAGGACGGGCGCGGTGGCTCACACCCGTAATTCCAGCACTTTTTGAGGCTGAGGCAGGTGGATCACCTGAGGTCAGAAGTTCAAGACCAGCCTGATCAACATGGTGAAACTCCATCAGGTGTGGTTGGTGCACTAGTCCCAGCTACTTGGGAGGCTGAGGCATGAGAATTGCTTGAACCCAGGAGGCAGAGGTTGCAGTGAGCTGAGATCGTGCCATTGCACTCTAGCCTAGGTGTCAGAGAGAGACTCTGTCTCAAAACAAACAAACAAAAAGACAAATGACGAGAAGACCTCCTTGTCAGGGTGGCTCACAGAACCAAGTTCCTGGAAGCACCTGGCTGAGGGCCCCTGGTACTCCAGCCTCATGATCCACCCCCAGTGGAGACCCTCCTCCCAGACCCTTCTCTCAGACACCCTCAGCCAACTGATTGCCTCTAAATTCCGGAACAGACTCTGATCATCAAGAAGAAATGTCACCTGAATTAATGACAGTTTGGAGTCTGGTTTAACAAGCCAAGGACTCCAACGGTGGGGGGGGGGGCGGTGTTGGGGGTGAGGAATGCTGCAGTTGTTTAAGTGGAGACCTGGTGATTTCAGGTCAGGGTCAGCTTTGGTCCCAAGAGCCAAGAGGGCCAGTAAAATGATAATTCAGACATTATACTCCTGCTGACTTGGGCACTCAGTTCTGGGTCAAACTAGAACACAAAACAGTAGACACCTAGCGTTGCTGGACAGAACCATGCTCAGGCCTGGGTGCAGTGGCTCACACCTGTAATCCCAGCACTTTGGAAGGCTGAGGCGGGCGGATCACCTGAGGACAGGAGTTTGAGACCAGCCTGACCAACATAGAGAAACCCTGTTCTACTAAAAATACAAAATTAGCTGAGCGTGGTGGCACATGCCTGTAATCCCAGCTACTCAGGAGGCTAAGGCAGGGGAATCACTTGAATCTGGGAGACAGAGGTTGCAGTGAGCTGAGATCGAGCCATTGCACTCTAGCCTGGGCAATAAGAATGAAACTTTGCCTCAAAACAAAAACAAAAACCAACCACATGTTCAGGTAAAAATAACATCTGCCACTTACTAAGCACCTACTATGGGCCAGTCGCCATGGTGCATGCTGGGTCAACATTCTCTTGTTTGATCCTCACGGCAATTCCATCAGGGAGAAACTGTTATTATCCCTGTGTGACAGATGGGGAAACTGGGGCACGAGTCAAGTTGCTAGGAAGTGGTGATGCCAAGTTTCAAAGTTCAGCACCCTTGGCAGAGAGACTGGACTTAGCCGTGCTTTGATCCAGGAGCAGAATTAGGATGCAATGGGAAGAACTGTAGGGACTTCCTAAGACTTGAGCTGAGGGAGGGCTTGTCAGGAAGTGAGCTCCCTGTCCTGGAAATGTGTGAGCAAACACTAGATAAACATCTTCAGGAATCCTGTTGCAGAAATCCCTGGATGGTCCTAGCTTAGCTGCCCTACAAGCTCTGAGATTCTATCTTGGACCCTGTGAACTATACAGAGCCCTGAAGGGCTCACACAGGCCCTTCCCACCCTTGCCTCAGCCCTCCTTATACCTTTCTGGAGGCCCAAGGGTGCCTCATTGTAAGCCCCCCACCACGAGTAGGATGCCCCTTGAAGATATTGGACAGAGGGCACCACAGAGCTCAGGGAGCCTAAGCTCTGAAGGCCTCCAGTGAGGCTGATTTGCTCTCCAGAGAGGCAGGCAGGGGCAAGGGCAATCAAGCCTCTCCTTGCATACCTGCCCGGCCCCTCCCATTGATACAACCAGGAGCCATTTCTAAGGAAATGAGAGTAGAGGGGCAGAGTTGGGAGGTGGGCATAGGGCAGGCTCCACGGGAGAGCAGGTTCACCCTGTAGTTAACTGAGAAAGGTACTGGCTTGGATTTCAGGATTCCTGAACTGGAGCACTGGAATGTGATCCCCGGCTGAGACTCAACCCAGGAAGAAGCACCCAACAGTCTCCCTGCAGCCCACCTAAGGAACAAAGCTCCTTTGGGCCAGGCTGAAAGCAGAGGGTGGAGGAGACACACGACTGGCCTCCAGCCCCGGCCCAAGCCACTCATTAACTTCATGGCCCGAGGCAAATTACTTCACCTCTTGGCCTGTTTCCTCCTCTGTACAGCAGTGATAACATCCTGCCAGTGAGACCTGATAAATATTCGACAAGGTCCTGTGGAAAGCTGACTGTGTTTATACCCTTGTAACGTGCTATTATTACCCAGGGGGGCCCTTGGGGAGGGCCCCTCCTGGTCTGACCTGAAATGTCACTCCCAGACAGGATGCTGGATCCTGTCCTTTCCTGAGGGCAGCCCAGGGGTGGGTAGGGCCTGTTTCTAAAGAAGAGAACCCAGCACTCAGCAAACATGCATTGATGCTGGTGATGATCTTTGGGTGATGATGGTGATGGAAACTGATGCCATCTGTGCACCACACCCTGATGGCAGGGCGGGTTCAAACACTGGGGCGGCGGTTACCCTCCTGGGCATCGCTTCCACCCACCCCTTCCCGCCAGGAAAGCTGTCCACTCACCCCGCCCTACCCTCAAGGGAAAATTCCTGTAGTAGACCTCGTGGGCCAGAGGCAGTGACCAGAGGGGACAGGAAAGGTTGGGGGCCACACTGAGCTGGAAGTCAACTCCTTGGACACCTCCAAGCCCCACAAATATACTTATCAAAGCAATTGTAACTTGCTCTAGGGAGACCCCAGGGGTTAGGCCAGGATCTGGTGACCCAGAGAATGACAATAACTGCCTCTTCTTGATTCGTTCAGCAAATCAACAGCCTGGGGGACTGAAGAGTTGTGACTTCTAAGGGAACAGTTGGGTTGTTAATACAGCTTGCAGAAGTCTTCTCTATTTCCAAAGTGGTGTCATGTTTATCACTGGCTACTTCTCATACCAGCTCTATGTCTTTCAGATGCAAAAACTGAGCCCATTTGGATAACCAAATGCTTAAGGTAGCAGAGATAATGACCAAGGCAGGACTAGACCCTGGGTCTCTTAGAGATAATGACCAAGTCAGGACTTGACCCTAGGTCTCTTAAGCCAGCCTCTGGCTACCGCACTGTAGCATCTGTCCATTGTTAAGGCAGAGCCTGCACTGACCCATGAGTCATAAGCATGGCCAGGACCCCTAAGCCCAGTCTCAGTATAGCCATACCTGCCCCCCATATCCACCTTCCTGTTTGGAGACACCCACCTCCCCTATTGTGGAGGTCACGAGTAGTAGTAGGCGTAAGTGTATGAGAACATCCAAACAGCAGAATCGAGCTGATTGGATAAGCTGCAGAGAGAAGATGGCATTTCCCTACAACAGTGTGGAAAACTGCAATGAATCCAGCCTGCAGCAGCTGGCCCCTCTGCTCCAGAGATCAAAAGGATGTGAGGGGGAGAAGAGTGTGGTGCCAATTCTGGGGTTGTGGCAGCTGCCCCCTTGAGCTCTGTTGGGCCCCACTCGAAGGACCTCTCACATCCTGTTGTGGCCAGTCGTCACCGTCCATTTCACTGACAGAAAGTGACACCTGCGGTTGGCGTGGTCTGGAAGCTTTTCAGTCCAATCCCCACTCAGGGGAGGTGGGCTTGAGGAAATGAGGCCCAGGCGGTGGTGTCCTGGACAGTAGGCAGAGGGATCTGGGTGGTGTGTCTTGCCTGGGCTTCTTTCCTTGGTGAGGATAGAGGCCAGGTCTGCTTGCTCCACAGGACAGGGAGCTGTGGCACAAACAGTGACAAGGCTTTTCCCCCGAGGTTGGACAAACACAGCTCTCATTCTTCACCAGGGCCCTGAGTGACTTATAACAGAAGCAGGATTTCCTTTAGATGAACCGCAACTGGGGTTTCAGATAGAAATGGAGTGTTGGAGGAAAGGAGGCCAGCAAGAGAAGGAAGAGGAGAGAGGCAGCCTCGGGACAGAGAAACGAGCTCCTGGAACAAATCAGCACTGGGGCGGGTGTGCAGCACAGCCCTGCTGGACCCTGGGCTTCCATGCAGGTGTTCCAATGTGGTGGCTCTGTGAGCGCCCAGCCTTGTGGCTGGGTGGAGGCATCCTAACAGTCCATTCCTGAGGGGACATTCTCTAGGAAAGACACTTAGCAAGCCAGATTATCTAGTTACACATTACACTATGTTTTTTTCATTTTGCTATAATCCTAGGATTTTAATAAAGTCCTATTTAAAGGTCTAGTCTTGACTCAGCCATGCTGGGGGCAACTAAGGAGGATCCAGGGTCAACCTCTGAGCCAAGGTGGTAAAGTGCCCTTGGGGCCTGCCTAGTGGCAGGGATGTCGGTGAGGGCTCCCGGAGAAGGTGAAGGTGTGTCTCTTCCATAGCTGTGTCCACTCCACTGCACTCCCTTCGTGTTGCTTGCCTCAGAGGTCTGGGTCTCTACCTCATTAGGGCAGTCCTCACAGACCCCCTCTTGACTTCCAGGACTCCAGCCATCCCACCACTTCCCGTCAACAGAGCATCCATCCCTGGCAACTTTAAGCTCAGGGCTTTTTGGAGCAGAAAAATAAATGACTGGCCAGGCGCAGTGGCTCACACCTGTAATCCCAGTACTTTGGGAGGCCAGGCAATCACCTGAGGTCAGGAGTTTGAGACCAGCCTGGCTAACATGGCAAAAGCCCATCACTACTAAAAATGCAACAGTTAGCTGGGCATGGTGTCAGGGGCCTATAATCCCAGCTATTCAGGAGGCTGAGGTGGGAGAATCACTTGAACTTGTGGGGCAGAGGTTGCAGTGAGCTGAGAATATATCACTGTACTCCAGCCTGGGTGATAAGAGCAAAACCCCATCTTGGAAAAAAAAAAAAAGATCACAGACTTGTCACAAAAACCATAACTGCCCCAAATTTCCCAGAATGATGCCCTTACCTCGATTAGGTCTGCCCTTTGTCCACCCTAGGACCAAACCAGAAAAGATTCCCTGAGAAGATGATATCCACAGGACCAGAATTTAAAAATAATTATATTAATAATAAATATGTTAAATTACATTTAAAACAATAAATAGAAAAATAAACTGATAAATAAAATTAACAGGTACAAAATGTTTCAAAATTCCAACCAAAAAACACACACACAAACAGTCGGCAGACAAGACAAATGGACAGAACGGGAGGGCGCTAAACGCAGTCACAGAAACCCTTCACAGTTGACGTCATGGCTCCCTCCTCGCCTGGTCACCCTTCTCTCCCCAGCTTGGAGACAGACCAGGAGACTCAGTGCCTGATATCTCTGGGCACTCCAGCCAGCACAGGGAAGCATCTGGTCTCACCTCCATGCCTTCCGCAAAGCAACCCTGAACCCTGGGGAGGGTGGGTTCAGTGGGCAGGAGTGTGAGGCAGAGGCTGGACTGTGGTGGGGCAGAGGGTGGTGAGGACCAGGACATCCCTACAGAGGCAGGTCGGTGCTGTTGTGCCGGGTTTTCCTGGCGGTGCCATCGTCTCGGGGCAGAGCTCTCTGCAGGTTGGACATGGCCACGGTCTTTTTGAGGTCAATCACGGCGTAGGAGTCTGAGCTTCGGGCAGGGTGGGTAGTGGGCATGGGGGCTTGGGGGCTCGAGGGGTTCTGGGGCCCCTTAGGGCGGTCTCCACCCCAGCCCTTTAGCTCCACTTGGATGTAGTTAAGCTGCCTTGGGGGCTCAGGGCCCGGCCGGCGGAAATCAAAGTTGAAGACCCTTGGGGAGCCACGGCGGCGGGTTAGTGGCACAGGAAAGCTGCCGTGGCTGCGAATGGTGGCCCGGGTGCTGGTGGGCTTCTGCAGTGGGGTCTCGTCCTCCTCACCATCAGGGAAGCCATTGGAGGAGGGTGTGAGCCCATCCCTCGAGTCCCCATCATCCCCAGCCTCCCCTCCCAGCTGCTGGGCTTGGCTCTCCCATACAGGGGGTAGCGGGGGCAGGTTCTCATAGTGCAGCAGGGCGGCCCGGCGGTGGGCAAGGCCATTCCAGCCCGGCTCCTCTGGGCTCAGTCTCCAGCCGGCCCCTCGCCGCAGTCCGCTGCTGACATTCTCATAGGTGCACTTGGGCTGGGCTGGGCACTCGGAAGGGGCCTCATTGTTATTATTGTGGTGGGGGGCGTCATGCAGGCTGGGACAGAGGCCTTGGCACTTCACCATGTGCCGCCGAGCAGGGGTTGGGCCCAACACAAACTTCACCTGGCCCGGCTGTAAGAACACCTGTGGGTCCCGTTGGTCAGGGCCCCGCGCCTGCGGGAGGAAGGGCACTTGACCCTCAGGCAGGGGCTGCAGGCAGTGGCGGCCCCTGCGGTGGTCATCTTCACTGGCCGGTGTGTTGACATAGGTGTGGGACTGGGGAGAGAGTCCAAGTGAGGCAGGTGGGTCCCAGGGCAGGGGGAAAAGAGAACAGAAGGGACAGGATGAGAGAAGAGAAACACATGGAAAAAGAGCTGGAGTTTCTTCTTCCTTGTTCTCCAAACCTTCCAAGGAAGCTGTTCCCTTTTGGGGACAGGAAGGGACCCTAACAATGTTCTTCCCCTTCCCATGATCCTCACTGGGAGGAGGTGACCATATTTCCTATCTCTCATCCCCACCCAGACCAACAGGGCAGGGGCTGGCCAGCTGCATGCTCACCTGCTCATCGGGGGCAATGAGGGCATGGGTGGACTCTTCCCCAAGCGATGGGTGCCGCAGGCTGCTCGTTGAGAGCCGCCGGGGAGCTGAGAATCGTGGGCCCTCTCCAGGGCAGCCATTGGAGAAGCTGGAGACAGTGTAGCCTAGAGCTGGGCACAGGAGAGACAAGCCCAGGGGAGGGGAACTTAAGCCATCTGACAACCAGCTGCAGCTGTGTGTGCGGATCCCGGAGTGATGTTCTCAGGGCCTCACAGCGGTTAAACCCCTGAGCCACCAGCCCCCCATTATCCTTCACTTCTCCTCTGCTCTTCAAACCCTGCCCTTCCCTCAAGCTCACCTTGAAGAACACCTCACCACTGTCTCCATCATAGGCTCACCCAAAATGGTTAAAGCACAGCTTGTTGTCACAGGACCATCCCTTTGCTTCATTCTAGGTCTGCCAGGAAGGTTCAGGGAAGCTCCTCAAAAACAGAGACTGCTTCCATTTCTCCTGTGCCCGATGGGCCACCCCAGGGAACACACAACAGCAAGCAGGTGCCTGGTCTGAACTCCATGACTAAACAAGCAGAAATTGTAGGACCTCTCCAGAATACTGTCACGGCCAGAGATGCCTGCCCCAGCAGCAAGGAAGGTATATGGGGATGACCCAGTAGACAGAGGAAGGAAGCAAAAAAGCCCTAGACTGCTGTTTCTATGGAAACCCAGTCTTCCTGTCTGCTCCCCAACCATCAGTCGATACAAGGCCCAGGACTCAACAGCCTCAGCTTGAGTCACCTAGCCCAGCCCGGGACTTATCGATTCTCAAGAATGGTTCTGACCATGGACAACTGTCCTGGAAGGCTAGCTCACCCCTAACCTGCAAGCTTGACTCATCCCTCCAAGACTTGGGCTTCCTGGGCCTGGGCATGTGTGTGTGTGTGTACACTGGGGTCTCCTCACCATTGGGCGGCTGGGGGGCTCGAGGGAGGTCAAGCTCAGTGGGGTGGCTATTGCGAGTGATGATGACAGGCTCTTCCATCACGTTGATGCTGTTGCACTGCATCAGATCCTGAAGGAGGTTGAAGATTTCCTCAGCCCGAGAACACTTAAATGCAAATATTCCTGGAGAAGGAGGGGAAGAAATGAGGCTCCCCAGACCCTTGGCCCAACAGGGAAGGACCAGAGGAGCTCAGCAGATGCATAATGTGCAGGAAATGTCCCTGAACACCAGTCCCAGGCCTGCAGGGGTAGGAGAGCCTCTCCTCATTGAGCATTCTTTCTTTTTCTTCTTTTTTTTTATTTTTTTTGAGACATAGTTTTGCCCTTGTTGCCTAGGTTGGAGTACAAAGGTGCAATCTCGGCTCACTGCAACCTCCATCTCATGGGTTCGAATGATTCTCCTACCTCAGCCTCTCAAGTAGCTGGGATTACAGGTCCCCGCCACCATGCTCACCTAATTTTTTGTATTTCTAGTAGAGATGGGGTTTCACCATGTTGGTCAGGCTGGTCTCAAACTCCTGACCTCAGATACAGGGGTCACAAGAAGAGAATCAAAACCAAGACAGAGGCCAGGTATGGTGGTTCATGCCTGTAATTCCAGCACTCTGGGAGGCTGAGGAGGGTGGGTCACCTAAGGTCAGGAGTTCAAGACCAGCCTGGCCAACATGGTGAAACCCCATCTCTACTAAGAATACAAAAAATTAGCTAGGCGTGGTGGTGGGTGCCTGTAATCCCAGCTACTTGGAAGTCTGAGGCAGGAGAATCACTTGAACCTGGGAGGTGGCGGTTGCAGTGAGCCAAGATTGTGCCACTACACTCCAGCCTGGGTGACAGAGCAAGACTCTGTCTCAAAAAAAATAAAAAAATAAAAAAAAAACCAAGGTGGAAAGGACAGAATTAGATGAGTGAACATTCCATCTCACATGCTCTCCCCATCTTCCTCTGCCTACCAACCCCTGCTCCCCAGAGTGCCAGCTGTCAGATCGCTGATGACAAGAGGGTCTACCCTGTTCCCTGCTTGTTCATTTATTAGCCTAGTGTATGGCCAGGAAGCAAATGTCTACTGTATATAGGTCCCTGACCTCATAAACTCTGGCGAGGGATGGAAGAAAAGATGGGTAGATGAGCTACAGGTAAATATGGCAAGGCAATCACATGGCTCCTCAATGCAGCCAGCTTTACACACCTTCCAGCTGCAACACTGCAACTCAAAGTCCCAGGAACAGCACGACTGGGCTGAGCGGCTGTGAATCAGGGGACTCAAAGATGCTCTTGGGGTTATTGGGCCAGCCTGGAATCCTACACTCCCCTCTGTAACAGGGGGACCTGGGACAGGCTACGTGGGGTGTGCCTGTGCATATACCCACAATTGAAACACAATTAGGCTGGGGAACAGGACAACTGTAATTTACACAAATAGGATCGGGAGGAAATAGGGAAGAAAAAGATCTACTCTGGCAAGATATGATGAGAAGCAGAAAAGACTGGGAAAGCCTGGAATCACAGAGAACCCTGTGTTGGGGCCTAGGGTAGCCCCTCTGGGAAACCAAATGTAGATCAAACATCACCAGGAACAAAGATGCCTGCTCACCCAGCACCCCTGCCTCTGCCTCATGAACTCCAAGGGTAAGATGCACAGAGGGGAGTCTCCTCCAGCAAACATGACCTCAGAGGCTCACTGTTTTGTTGGCAGCCTCATCAGAGAAACTTGTTTATTCCACCTCTGCACAGTCATAATCCCAAACTGCACTGAACACAGTCCCATGCAGGATTCCTTTTGCATCGCTTAAGTCTGGAGAGTAAGAGATAAACCCAGACCATGCCACCCCTTCAGAGAGCTGTGGCTGGCTCTAGCCTTGATCTCATGGAATAACCTACACCTGACCTCTGACTGCAGGGAGAATACATCACACTCTACTGCCCACAGATGATGGGGACAACATTAACCTCTTGAGGGCTAATTTGTACATTAAGAACCCTGGAGTCCTGCATAAGCCCCTATCCCAGGGTGGAGCAAGGCCTGGTACTCACCCTGGCCTGTCTGACATCTGCGGCCACTCTCAAATGAGAAGAGGTTGGAGTCGTAGCCATAGCGGCGCAGGCAGAGGTAGGGCCAGCGGACGGCCTCACGCCGATGCAGGTGCAGCACCAGCTCACTCTGCGTCAGTTCCATCACCCCAGAGCCCAGCTCCACTCCCTCGTCATCCACATTTGTTACCTGGAGAGGACAGACAGAAGGGTCAATGAGTGAGTCCAACAGGTGTTTGCAAGGGTCGCTGAGCCACTGGGAGACAATCTGATGCAGGACAAGAGGTGGGGAACCAAAGGTTGCATCTGACTATCACAGACTCTACTGAATGCCACATAATTGTATGAAGCAGTGCCATGGACCTACGACAGTTCTCTGTGGCAAATCCCACTTCTCTGGGGCTCGGTTTTGTCATATGGACAGTAAGGGAAGAGGTAGTTTACCTCCAAGGTCCGTTGGTTAGATAACAAATGTTAGATGACCTCAGACAGCCCATGGCTTAGGATACAAGGCCCAGATGTTAATGGGGAAAGTATTCCACTGTAAATTTAAAATCTTGAGACTGGGCACCCTGATCTAGGAAAGTCAAACCCAAGGCAGAAATAATACATATCTTCTCTACAATAGTATGTCCTTGCTGAGGGCTCCCTCTTCTGGTGGACAGGAGAAACATGTGTTTCCACATGCCCCAGTGGCTCCCTCCACAGAGAGGTGGGGCGGGGGAGGGCACAGGTCCACTGGGTCGGCCCTCAGCTCCCCACAGCAAACAGCAAATACTGATGTCATACTTACTGTGTGCTAAGCACTATTTTATTTTTATTTTTATTTTTGAGACAGAGTCTCGCTCTGTCACTCAAGCTGGAGTGTAGTGGTACAATCTTGGTTCAATGCCACCTCCATCTCCAGAGTTCAAGTGATTCTCCTGCCTCAGCCTCCCAAGTAGCTGGGATTACAGGCGTGTGCCACCACACTGGGCTAATTTTTATATTTTTAGCAGAGATGGGGTTTCACCATGTTGGTCAGGCTGTCTTGAACCCCTGACCTCAGGCAATCTGCCCGCCTCGGCCTCCCAAAGTGCTGGGATTACAGGCGTGAGCCACCGTGCCTGGCCACTAAGCACTATTTTAAATACATTACATACATTAATTCACAAATACAGACTTTTGTTTTCTATCAAAAAAAGGGATATATAAAGTTTAAAAAATACACTGACAACAGTTCCAAAAGCACCATTATGGCATTTCTTCATTCTTGGTAATATCAAGAGCCATGAAAACAGCAGTGGTCTGGGCCTCTTTTCCTCAGGCTACTTGAGAGGGCATGAGCTCAAGAAGTCTCTAAAAGCCTATAACCTCAGCCTAGCATTTCATTTGAATTAGAGAGGCTGAGGAAACTCCATTAAACGGTGTCTGCACCCAAGAGGCCATGTTGGGAATGCAGGAGAGGAGAGGGATCTGGGTACCTTGAACTTGGTGGGGTGGTTGTCCGGAACGCTGTCTCTGTACAGGCAGCTGCAGCAGCTCCCCATGGTGTCAGAGCAGCCAGCCTGCCCTAGGAAAAGCATAAGGGATATGCAGGTCACTAACTTCTGATTCAAAAAACCCTGCTCTGGGGAACTCTGGCAGAAGCACCTCACTGTGATCACCCACTCTGTCCAAGAGACTGTGTGACACAGACCCTCCCTCAAGGACTTCACACTCTCAATCCAGGACCAGACACACATTGGATAAACATTAATCCAAGTTAGAATGTGTTAAGGATGAATGCTGATGGGGGGGCTGGAGAGAGCTTTTCAGAGGTAACATTTGATCTGGACCTTGAGAAGTATGTAGGATTCTGACCCATGTAATGACAAGGAAGGGAGGGACATAGGCAGGAAGAAAAGTAGGGGCCCAGAAGAAGTGATCTGCAGCAGATGGAGGTGGGTGCCATCCCGAGGCCCTTATTTGGATTCAGCAAAGAAACTGTCACTTGGGGGTCTCAGACACTTTGGCCTATACCTGTCTCTTTTTTCCTCCCTGTTTACCTCATCCATTCCACATCATCCAAGTTCTCTCTTCTCTCTTACCAACATCCCAATATCCAGGGCAAATTTATCTTTTGATGTCCTCTTCAAATGAGTTGTTACACTGTGATCATAAAGATATATTCAGAAGATGGAACATTTAAAAGAGTGCATAATTTTAATAACCTCAATTGGATAAAATGCTGGGTTTGCTTCCCTTTGTCTGAAGGGGAGACCAGAGGCCTTACTATTTGGCTCTTCCCTCCAGGATTCTGGTACTTGGATTATACATCACAATAGTCAGGCCTGTGCCTAGAATGAAGAGGACACCACCCAGGCTTGAATGATGGAAGAGAACAAGAAATGCATGGAACAATATCGAGCAGAAGTTTTAAGGGGTGGCAACTTGTCACAAAAAAATGAGTCTATAGGATTAGCTATCCTTCTGGAACTCCTGCTGAATGGTAAAGCCTTAAACAACCAGGTGACCTGTACCCTCTGTTTGTCCCAACTTGGGAAACGCCATAAAACTGACTCCTATACATAGCTCTTACCTCACCCAGGCCATCGGGGAGCTGACCATGGGAGGGGCATGGGGAAGGATTCCCACTTTATTCCCTCCGTCCTTGGTGGGCTGTCATGGCAAACAGTCTGCAGAGAAGTTCACCCGGATCCCTCTGGGATACACCTGGGGCTCACCTAGCATAGGAAACAGAGACACTGGTTAATAGAAACCTATCATCACCCCCAACTGTTAACGAAACTGACCTGGCAGTTCATCCTACCTGGATATCTGTTCCAGCCCTAACGGGACAAAAACACTAATGAAGGAAGGAAGTAAAATCAAGGGCAAAGAGAACACAAACTCCAAGCCCCATGGGCCCTGAAAGGGACAGACTCACAGAGCATCAATGAGTTTGAAGTCTAAGGCGACCCAAGGCCTTGTAAGTCACTTTAGATCTCCCTTTGAGTCCTGTTACGACAAACACCAAAACTACCACCTTACCTTTGCAGAGCACTTTAACTCCACAAAGAGCTTTCTCAAAAGGACACTGGGATATAGTGGAAAGAGCACTGGTTTAATATTCAGGAAATCAATATTCCAGTCAGTTTGTTGCTACTAAGTATCTGGGAGACTTAGGTCAACACTCCCCCAACTCCCAGCCAAGGCCTTAGTTTTGGGGACAACTGTCCATAAACTGTGGAGCTTCTAACCTAAGTAACTTCCAGAGGAAAAATGTAAGACAAACATCACTAAAATGGACATGCTCCTCTTTCAAGACGGGCTGATTTAATTTCGAATTTGGAAGCTTGATAGATTTTCTGCTCCCCAAGTTCTAAAAGGCCTAATTTTAACATAAATGTTAACCGTAGCCAAAATTTCAGGGCATCTGAGCCCAAGTTAGACAAGTCAACAAGCCAAGTCTCTGCAGACTCTGGACATCCACATTCCCACTCTGGAGAAACAATACTTCCCAGGGCCCCTTGCACCCTGCATCCTTGGACAACTTCCAGGTAAAAGGACCCCATCTCCTTGGTCTGGCTTATTCTCTGGAAGGAAGAAGCAGGCTCAGGGAGGTGTGCACAGACTAAAGACAGGTCACCGGGAAAGTTCTGGGGCTGGAGCCACCAACAAGGGCGGGGCGGGGGCACTGAAACCAAGCACTCTAGGGTGCAAGATCGGGAAGGGGTTGCATTTCCCTATCACCATCTCTTTTCTTTAAGATATCAGGACGTATCAGCCCACTGAGGAAGGACTGCATTGGGTGGAAAGGGGGAGAGGGCTCTGGTCTGGGATAGGTATGGATCAGGGGCAGGGGTTAGAGAGGGTGTTGGGGCTGAAAACGTTTGAGGAGGTTTTGGGAAACACGAGCAAGAATTTTGGATGTGGGCATTTTGGATAGTGCAAGGAGAATGGGGATATGAGGAATCCCAGAAATTTCCAGGCAGTGAAAGCATTTGGGGACACCCAAGAGAGAATGGTGGGCATAGCAGGAGATTTGTTGAATGAGTGAGGGGGTTCTGAGGGCTTCAGAAGACGCGATGGTGTGTCCAGGGTGGAGAGGGTTGAGGTAGGGTTTGGAGAGCCTAAGGCTGCAGGACAGGCTGCAGGACTGTCAAGGAGAATTTCTAGACGCCCGTAAGGAATGGGGAGGTCGGGGTGCGCGCCGCCCCCGGATCCCCGCCCCCAACCCCAGTGCTCCGCCACCCTCCCGCCCGGGGCTTCCTAGGGAGGGAGTGGAGACTGCGGCGCGGCGCGACGCGGCCTCGGTGAAGCCGCTTCGTCCCCGCCCCGCCGCGCCCCGACTCACATCGCCCCGCGGCCCAGGCGGCGCCGGGCCCCGCTCCCGGGTGCCGCTGCAGCAGCAGCCGCCGCCCGCCCGGAGCTAAGGTCTCCCCGCCCCGCCCCGCCGCCGCGGGGTCGGAGGTCACCGGCAGCACCAACGAGACGCTGCAGGCGGGCGGACCCGAGCGGGGGCGACCGGCGTGCAGCCTAGAAGGTCCCTTTGGAGGACTTTGCTGTCGGGAAAAGGGAGCATGCGCAGACGCCAGAGGGCGCTGCTGGCCAGGGACTGAGCAAGCCCGGAGGAGACAGGGCGGAGCCTGCGCCGGGGGCGGGGCGCAGAAGTGGTGCTGGGGGAACCAAAGTTTAGGGTGCTCGGGGGATCGGAACGGGGAAGGAGGGGTGAGCGAGAAACGAAGGGAAGGGGAAAGGGTCTGAAGAGACCTGAAGGGAGAAGGGCAGGCCGAGGACCCCGGAAGAGGGCTAAGAGGAGAAGGGACCAGGGGGACCACTGGGGACAAGGAAGAGAGAAGTGAAGGGAAACACGCGGAAGGGCGGGGCTGGGAGACCTGAAGGAGAGTTCGGGGGGACCTGGGAACTGCGGAGAGACAGAGCTGCGGGCCCGGTGAGGCGTTTCCATTCAGCGAGTGGTTGAGAACCCAATGTAAACGCGGCTCCCGCCGTCTGCTGGATACCCACCGGGCGCTGTCCGGGCCTGATGGCCCTGCACCTGCATGGCGGAGGTCGTGGAGCCCGCACATTTCCACTCTGAAATCCCACAAATGTGTGTGTGTGTGTGTGTTTTCCAATCTGCAGCTCCAGGAGATCCCACAAGTGTGTGTGTGTGTGTGTGTTTTCTCCAATCTGCAGCTCCAGGCCCCTCACTGAGCCGCCCCTCTCCACCAGCCGGATACGGGACGGGGGAGCGGCGGGGGCCACTGGGGCGTGGGAGAGGAAGGTCCGCACTATTACGGCAGGCGGGGGCGGGCACTGAGGCCTTGGGGTGGGGACCGGGTAAGGGGCCCGAAAGCAGAGTCGGTCCAGAACTGCCCGGAACGCGGCGCACAGCGAGGGTGAGACCCCAGCGGAGTCCTCGTCCCCTCCCCTAAAATCCCAGCAGCCAGGCTGCGAATACCAGCGGACTCGGGAAACACACCGCGTCCCAGCCCCGGAGGTGGGACCGCCAAGTTCTAGAAAAACTTTGGGCATCTATCGAGAGGGCACTTGGCAGGACTGGGCACTTCCCTTCCTTCTCCCTCCCATTGTCCCCAGAAATCTTCCCATCCCACCACCTTCCCATGCCCTAAGGCCTCTCAGGCTCTCCCTTCAGGGCAGTGGGGGTTGGGGAGCCCCTGAGCCCTCTTGCACCTGCGCGGAGGCAAGACAAGGGGTTCAGTTCTGTCCCTTATCTGAAATGGGAGGGGGAAGGGAATTAGGGAAAGAATCCAGCCGGCCTGTTAGTAAGGGTGTTCCAGTGCTAGGTGGAAGTGGAGTTTGGCGGCCTTTTGGGGAAATGGAAAGGTGAGGAGTAGAGGCCTGATTTCTGAGTGTTGTTTCAGTGTTGGACAATTCCATTCAAACTAGAGCTAAAATTAAAGAGGCTGCAAGTCCCCTTCAGGGGCCCCAGATACCCCCTCCTTTCTTGCTGCCTGAAACAGGGGCAGTGCTGTCAGGCGAAGTGGCTACTCCTGGTGTGAACAGCCCAATCCTGGCCGCCTTCCACAGGAAACCTGACCTGAGGGACAGAAGAGGAAGGAAGCAGGTGGGTGTGAAGCCAGGAAGGAGGAAAGGGTGGCACAGGACATTTGAAGTTGGGGGTTGGGGGATGGTGCTAAGGGTTCAGTGCTGCGAAGCAATATTAACTGTTATGGTCCAAACCCTCACCTCAACCCCAATACTGAGTCTTACAGAGGGCAGGGATTTGATGATGACCCTCCTGTGCCCAGCTACTTTCAGCATCTATCCCAGCTGTCATAGGCCAGCTCCCCCTAAGGCTTCCCTTAAGTCTTAGGTGTTATCTTGGGCAAGTTAGTTAACTTGTTTGTTTCAACTATCAAGAGGACTAAAAGAGATTACCTCATAAGATTATTGTGAGGATAGACTATATTATATAATATTCTAGAAGAGTCCTTGGCACAGAATGAATAGCATAAATGTTTGCTCTGGTTATTTTTTCCCCCGAGTTTGTGTATATCTGTCTGGAGCTCTGGTCCCATTCTACTTGGTTTCATCTCTGTCTTACTCACTATGAGCTCCTTGAGGGCAGGGCTCAGCTCTTCTCTACATTAATAGTCACTTCTTAACCTCAAGATATTGTGGTCATATCAGAACTTGCCGAGAGGAAAGCTGAAGAGATGCACTTAGATTATCCCGTGCAATTGCTGCTATAGATAAAAGTGCAAGGTGTTCCTCTGACCTTGAGGAATTTATAGCCTAGATTAGGAGTCGAGAGAGATGCAGGGAGCAGAGAAAAACATTAGGTGCTAAATCTTGGGGCACTTCTTGCTTCAGGAGCTCAGGAAAGTTATGGTCACAGAAGCTGAGAAGGGCTTCCTGATAAGGGGATCCTTTAACCAGGCCCAAGCCTATATAGCTGGAAAAACTGGGTCCACTGTACGAAGTTGTGGAGAAGGAGGCTCACTGGGACTGTGGGTACACGGTGAGAGATGGTGGGAGGTAAGGCTGATGAGGTGAGGAGAGAAGGGCCAGCCTGCCTAAAGGCCCACCAGAAAGGCAAAGTGCCCTCTCCTTCTACTGTCCTCCTCTTACCTCCATCCCAATCTTGGGAGACCCCAGAATTTGAACTTCAGAAATTCTGGAGCCAAAAGACCTGACCTCAAGACCTGGCTCTGCCACTTACTAGCTGTTTGACCTTGGGCATGCTACTCACGCTCTGATCCGCAGTTGGGCCATCTGTAAGATGAGGACAGTGCTACCTAAGTCACTGGGTATTGGGAAGACTGAGGGAAATAGTATCTATAAAGCACTTAACACTTCCTAGCATATTGTAACGGCCTAATACATGGAGGGGTTCTTACTGTTTTGGGGTAGCCTTTGCCACCAATGTCAGTGCAGAACTCTGGATGGCCCCGCCAAGAGGACAGCCCCAACCCCCAGGAGCCAGGTCCACCAGCCAACTCAAACAGCGACTCAGGCTACCTGCCGGGCAGGGACCCTGAGGATACCTCTGCTCAGGTAGTAGAGTTTTGCCCTTCCTGAGACCAACATGACCTCTATCCTGTGGAGTGCTCCCCTTTTCCACCAACCCTGAGGTAGTTTGACTTCGTGCCTAATCTTTTGTTGCCTTTTTTCTTTTCAGGAATTCCTATCTCTGCACCTGCTTAGAACATCAGGTTTTAACTTTAAACGCATTCACATTAATATTCATTACCTCTCCTAGGGGGTCTGTGTTCTCAAAGCAGACTCTAGGAGCTTTGGCCTCAAGGAATGACGGGGGTGGTTTTAAGCATAAGAAGGGAAGCTGTTTTGGGGTGTGAGGTCTCCTCAGCCTCCCTCAAGGAAGACCATAGATGCAGGCATCCAAGGCTATCCTTGCGCTCAGTGAGAATCTGGAAGGAGGACCCTCCCAAATTGAGGGCATGCTTAGAAGCAGCTCTAGATTGGAGAAGAGGTGGCAATGACAAGGAGGAAAGACAGAGAAAGGAAAGAAAAACCTAGTTTCACTCCTCCCCATCTTCCATGTCTCCTCAGGGTCCTGCGGTTCTGAGCCTGGGTCCCCTTTGCCTGGATACCAACCAAGCCCCCAACTGGACTGGGCTTCAGACCCTCCTGCAGCAACTCCCTCCACAGGACATTGATGTGGGTCTCCTCTCCCCATCTTCCCTCTCTTGCCTCCTCTTCCCCCTCCCTTTTCTTACTGTGGGAAGAACATTAGTCCAGAAGTTAGGGGATATAGATTTAAGACCCAGCTATGCCACTGGCTGGGGGTGACTCTCCCCCTGAGTTTTCACATTGGCAATAACAATAGCAATAGCGGGTGCAATAACATTTCTGCCCACCACAATGCTTCATTCAAGAGCGAATGAGAAAATGGACATGAAGAACTTTTGAAACAGATAATGGAATGTACAATGTAGAGAGTATGGTTGTTACGTATTTATTGGGGCTCTACATGTGCCCAGCCTAAAGACTTACAATTCAACTGGGGAGGCCAGACAGGAATATATGAAATAATTTGAGGAAATGTAAGCATGGGAACTGATACTGAGCTCTAGCTCATTGGGAGCAAAGACCTAATGGTGACAGGGCTATGTGCTGTGGGCCTGTCAGGACCTGATTGATGACCATTCCTGGGGGAGGGGCAGGGGGAGACTGAGGGGGCTTCCCCCGCCCCCGAGATGGAGTTTCACTCATTACCCAGGCTGGAGTGGAATGGCGCGATCTCTGCTCACTGCAACCTCCGCCTCCTGGGTTCAGGCAATTCTCCTGCCTCAGCCTCCCAAGTAGCTGGGATTACAGGCACACGCCACCATGCCCAGCTAACTTTTTGTATTTTTAGTAGAAACGGGGTTTCACCATGTTGATCAGGATGGTCTTGATCTCTTGACCTCGTGATCAACCCGCCTCGGCCTCCCAAAGTGCTGGGATTACAGGTGTGAGCCACTGCACCCAGCCCAAAGTGGCCTTTCATGAGCTACTTTCCTTCTTCTATTTGCCCTTCAATGCCATTATCTCTGGCATCTCCCTGAGGTTCTACAACCTTTCTCTGACCTAGCAGCCAAGTCTTTTTTCCTCCAACCAATGCTCCATCTTGCCTGCTGGGGCTCTCCCAGTCATTGCAGAGGACTGTTTCTGCAGGAGCGCTACTGCCTGGCCCTTGGGGAGGAGGAGCTGGCTGAGCTGCGGCTCTTCTGTGCCAGGCGGAAGCAGGAGGCCCTGGGACAGGGGGTGGCCCGCCTGCTACTTCCCAAGCTTAAAGGACACACCTGTGAGAAGGTACGTAGTACCCCTCCCCCCAGGTTCTCCTTCCTCCACTCTTTGCCCTCTTATTTCTGCAGAAGGCACTAGCTTCTGGGACTCTGGTTGGGAAACAGGAAAAACAGAAACCAAGTTTGGGAGCTCTTGGTATAGGCTGCAGTGGATGTGGGCTTGCTAGGGTATGGTGAGAACAGGTTGGGATTGGATTAGAAGATCAAGGAGGGAAGTTAGGTTGGTAGTGCCTCCTCCGACCACCTCAGCACCTCCCCTCCCACAGTGCAGGGAGCTGCTGAAGCCAGGGGAGTACGGAGTGTTTGCAGCCCGGGCAGGTGAACAGCGCTGCTGGCACCAGCCCTGCTTTGCCTGCCAGGCCTGTGGCCAGGCCCTGATAAACCTCATCTACTTCTACCATGATGGACAACTCTACTGCGGCCGTCATCACGCAGAGTTGCTGCGCCCGCGCTGCCCAGCTTGTGACCAGGTACAAAAGAACTGGGGGTCTCCCCAGGGTCCAGAGTGGCAGGATACAAAGGGACACTCTCCTGGGCCACAGGTTCTCCCAGTATCAGGGAGCGGGGAGAACTAGTAACCAGCCTGGGACTACCAAGTTCCCTGTGTTCTGACTTGAGCTCTGGGCATGTGGGGCCCACGGCCTTTCTTGTGCCCCCATTGCAATCAGAGTCCCTCAAATGTTCTTGGACTCAGAAAATTTCTCTAGAGCAGGGACTCTTGGACAGATGCTCATAAGTATATGCCAAGTGCCCAGTGCTATGCCTCATCATGCTAGAAATTCCCTTAAGGCCAGCATAAAAGGAAGCCTGGAGCCCTGGGTTGGGAGTCCAGACCCCCAGGTCGAACTTTGGATTGTGCCACTTGCTAGCTGGCATCCTGGCTAAGCCAATCAGTCCTCCCTGTGTCCAAGAGTGGCTGAGTGGATCAAATGGGAATGTTTGTAGACGTGCTTTAGCGTTCTGGGTATAAGGCGTGGTTACTGGATGAATGAATGAGTGAATGAATGAATGAATGAATCGTTCCCCTCTCCCTCTCCCAGCTGATCTTCTCTCGGCACTGCACCGAGGCAGAGGGACGACACTGGCATGAGAACCACTTCTGTTGCCAGGACTGCGCCGGGCCCCTGGGCGGGGGACGTTATGCACTGCCTGGGGGAAGCCCCTGCTGCCCCAGCTGCTTCAAGAACCGCTACTCGGATGCAGGCTGGAGCTCGGCCGGGGCACTGGAAGGGCAGGCGTTCCTTGGTAAGGCAGAGGATGCAGGTCAAAGTGGGAGGGGGCTTGGGCTGGGCTGTGGGGGTTCTCCCGGGCTGGGACCCTTGTCCCGGTCCCACGCCGTCCCGTCCCTCCAGCAGCGCCCGCGGCCTCCCACCGCACCCCCCATACCCGAGCCTTGGGGCCCGCAGCTCTCACCGCGCGTCCCTGGCTGGAGCGTTCCAAGGGCCTCTCGAACCCACCCCGCACCGCGGTCGGGCTTGCGGCGCCGCAATCCCTCCCAGGCACGGGACGCGGCCGCCCTCTGGTGGGTGGAGGCGGGGGACCCAGGAGAGGACTCTCGGCAGCGGCGCGCACGGCCTAGGGGCGGGGAGGGGCGGGGCGGGAGGCTGGGCCTCACCCCGGATAGCTGCGGTGGTGGTCTAGCCAGGCTCTGGAAGGGAGATTCCGCGCTCTGAGACCAGCGTTTCCGAACCGGCCAGGAACAGGGGAGGCTGGACCCGACCGAACTGAAGGAAGGGACCAAACCTCGCTGACCTCTGTGACCCTCTCCCGAACACTCCTCGCTGCTGCCGGCTGTTCCAGCCTGCAAACTCGGACCGGGCTGCCTGGATCCAGTCCCCAGCAGAAAAGCCGACCTGGGGACAAAGCGGAGGCACCCAAAGGGCAGGAGCAATGCCTCCTGAAGACTCCTCGTCATCCCAAGGACACTCCTTTCCCCACCTACTCCTCTTCTTCTGACTCGGAACCTGAAGGCTTTTTCTTAGGCGAGCGCCTTCCCCTGTCCTGGAAGACCCCCGGAAACCTCCAAGCAGAGGACAGCAACGCCTCTAAGAAGCACTGCACCGTGTGCTAGAGGTGCAGCTCAGAGAAGGGGTGTGAATGGAGGGAAAGAGGTCTGTAGAGCGGGAGAACAAGGCTATCCTCCCCCTAGAAAAATCCGAGAGTGAGACGCAGTCATGCGCACGCCCGCGAGAGGCGGCGAGGTGACAAGTTTGGAGTGTACTCCCTTCAGCACTGCGTGTTCTAGGACTTCTGGTGGAGACCTTTTTGGCAAAACCCATCGTCCAAAGCTACACTTCCCTTGCTGAGATAGCCTCCACCCCCACCTCCACAGGCTGGGACAGCCCCGTCCCTACCATCCTCCTCCTGAGCCAATTAAATGATCACAGCACGCGTGACGGTTACCGGCTGGAGCGCCGGAGGTGGGACGGGGAGCAGGGGACCGTAGAGCTGGGCCGCGCTCCTCCCCTCGTAGAGTTGGTGGACGCGCAGCAGGGGGCCGTCCCTCTCTTCCGTTGTCGGAATAAGCGAACAGCGTCCCCTGCAGGCCGGTGGCCGCCGGAAGTACCAGACCGGAGGTGCGTCATCCTCCGGCGACGCCGATACGGTGCCTCCAACGAGGTTCGTGCGAAGCTTCCTATTATGGCTTCCAGCGGGGTCCCGGTGAGCGCTGCCGGCTCGGCTAATGAAACCCCCGAAATACCGGACAACGTGGGAGATTGGCTTCGGGGCGTCTACCGCTTTGCCACTGATAGGAATGACTTCCGGAGGTAACCGAACCCGGAGAACTTGGTCCTTCTCTGGTCCTTACGTCCGTATTTTCCCTTCCTCGCGGGGCTGACGCCTCAGGGTTTTTGTTTGTTTTTGTTTTTTAAACATTGCTGGCATTATGGCTTCTTCGTAGCTCTGGCTGTGTCTCACTGAGGTCCTTTACCAAGAGAGTTCCCGTGTGGCAAAAGCGATCTTTCTGTCATGTGGCTGTATCTGTAATGTCACCCTGATCAGGGGGAGAGGTGCCAGCACGTAAACAAGCTTTTTCGGCCCTGGACGAGTGCTTCACTAGGGCTTTGCGTTTGATCTTACATTTATTAGGCACAAAAATGAACTCCAAATTCCCACGTGGGTCTTCAGCAACCCACCATGTCACAACCACGTATCAACGCCTCGGGAAGGTGGTGGTAACTGGAAACCTTTTCCCCCAGTACTTTTCGTTAACCGTACAAGTGACTGACGACAGGGTTAATAAAACACATTGTTTTTCCAGGAATTTGATCCTTAATTTGGGACTCTTTGCTGCGGGAGTTTGGCTGGCCAGGAACTTGAGTGACATTGACCTCATGGCACCTCAGCCAGGGGTGTAGCCAAGTAGGTAAGAACTGAACTACACCCCTGCGTGTCTTAAGAGACCTAGAGGCTGGGAGAAGCAATATTTTCTGACAGCTGTTCACGAAATGTACAAGAATGTGATGTAAAACCTTGACTATTCCTAGTTAAATGTGTTTTCAGATGTTGCAAGGGATTTAAGTATCTCTTACCAATTTCCCTCCCATAGTTTTACATTTCTAATGCCACCCATTGTCTTATCATCTGATTGCAGACAAATGGAATCCTGTGCTGAACCTGAACCTTCCAAAAAACAGCCTACAATCTGTGACCATCACAAGATGTGCCCTGATGGCAGCTGAAGTTTGATTCAGATGGGCACTTTCCTTTTCCTTCTCCCTGCCTAGTTTCCTTTTGTTCCTTGAGTCCACGCAGAATTCCATTCTCTGGTCAGCAGACAAGTTTAAGCTAAAGTATTGCCTCTGTTCTGTAAAGTTCTGTACAAAGTTCCTAAGCTCCAGGGGGTGATCTTTGTTCTTGTCCTGAGAAATAACAATGCTGTTTTAACAAACATTTGAAATAAATACTGCACACAAAGACAGTCATTTTATTATTTTAATAAGAAACTTTTGCTTACAAAAACAAGGTGTAAAAAGTCAAGATTTACAAAAATCATAAAAACATGATTTATATTTCACACTTGAGAGACAAAAACAAGCCCCAAACATGGATTTTAATGGAGGTGGTTTGCTTCATTTTAAAAGGAAAAAAAAGGAAACTGTAACCATACGTTGATGTTAACATAGCATGAAATTTATTCTTGAAGAATTTATATTGTTGAGCAGTATTAGGGGAAGAAGCCATTTGGTGTTGCATAGCATTTTAGTGCACCAGGTGGGTTTTCCAGGCACCAGGGAGGCATTGTTGGTGGAAAAGTGAGGTTTGGTGGCAGAAAGAGGGCAGTGATGTGTGTTGGGGGGAGCACAGTGAAGTAAGCCTGGGCAGTGGGCACTAAAGTGACACTGCTGAGGAAGCTGCTTCCTTTAGAAGGAAATAAATGTTTTGTGACCCTAAAATTCATGGTAGTGCTACTGTCCAGGGTTTGGGGGCTCTTTGGAAATGGAATATGTATGGAACTGGCATGTATAAACTTGTGTAGCCACAGAAAGAGGTGGATAGAAACAGGTCCTCCATGGCAATATTTTTTTCTGGTCAGTTTACCAGGCATTAAGAAAAACAGCGCTTTCATGTGCCAAGTCTCCTATGGAACTAGTATGGGATTAAAGGACATTAATTGGAAAGGAGGCAGTATATAGGGACCACAGTGGCCTGTTAAGATTGACAGATGTCTCTAGCAGTTTGTTCACTACTAATATAAACAGGACAAAATAGTCTTTCTTGACCTTGCCAGCATAAATATTAAGAAAATTACTTGAGAATTTGATTTGTAAAGTATGTATATTTTAAAAGCACCATTTTCTTCTATAAATCAGCTAAATCTTACCTGATAGATGAAGCCAAGACCAGTTGAGTCTACACTGGGTAGACTCAGAGATTTATATCTTACTGGGTATTAAGATGAAGAAAGGTCACATGAAAGCAAAGCTTAGCTTTGAAGCCATCACCTCCCAAATGGTGACGAAGGAGGAATCTTTTAAGCCATAGTATAGATGCTAAACCCATTTAGACCAGCATCAGACTACTTGTTAAGACAAGAAATACCAGTACGTCCTGTTTTTTATAGGAATGAAACGTAGATCCTTAAAGTCTGCTACCTAATCTAATAACTGAACAGTTTTATTTGATAAAAATTTCCGAAATTGAAAATAAAATCCAGCAGGAATTACGGCAGCTTCCAAAAGCATAATTAAAATTTCATTCAAAATTTACTGTTTTGGCTTCAAGTAAGTGTTTACTGCTGGTTGGGTTTTAAAACCATAATGATGGTTTGAGTAAGATTTCATTTATTTTTTCTCTTTTTAAAAGAAAAAATGTATACTATATCCCTATCTGAGTAGGCCCCCAGCCTGATTTGAAAAGGCCCAAGTTAACATATGGAATATGATAAAGGGAGTGAAAAACAATGGGGTACACAGTCTGCTTTGAAAAGCAGCCATTTGATGAACAGTCACAAATACAAATAATTTGGACATTACAACAAAATTGCAGAACTTCCTGGTAAGAATAATTTGCATTCACAAGAGATATGAAATGCTTTTTAAAAGTCTGTGATACCAGATGTCCTTTAAACACTACACAGACCCATTTGCCACTTGAAATGATAAGAAGAAATCCTTTCCCTTAATCTTCAATTCCATGCAAACCATAATCGAGTACAAGGCACCAAATTTTATGAACTGTATAAAATTAGTTCACAAAGCTTTATCAGTAAGTAAAACAAACTCCATTTATCCCTCCCAGCCCACCCACCCAACTCCCACCCCCACCCGCCATCCCCAACCAAGTGTTCATTCTGCACTACTGTCAACATCTCTGGGGCTTACGCTGGGGCATGCGCCACTGCTAGCCAGTCTACCTCATTGGTTCTTCCCTTGTACTTGGATGGAGCTGTAAGCATAGCCAGAGTAGCAAACTCATACAATCATTGATTCTAGAAGCCTTGCCATTAAAAACAAAAATAAACTCTGCTATTGAGTCCATAGGACACATTAACACTTCTACAGTTTCCAATTTTATTCATGACATTTTAAGAAACATTTGGAAATTCTTTACAGTGTAGCACTGCCCCCCAACCCTACCCCATAACTCCAAGACTGAGGGGCTGGATCAAAGCTGGCAAGAGCTCTGTCCATCATTTAATAAGAGCTTCAGTTCCTGGCTACCAAGGCCATTCCTAATTATTTTTACACTAGCATGGATGTTCGTCTTAGAGGCAACCACAAATATGAGGGTCAGGCTAGATTGAGGTAAAAAAAAAATCCTTTTTTGAGGGCCTAGGAACACTCATCTTGGCTGGCTACAGCAGCACGTAAACATGCCAGCCAACTAACTACAAAGGGTTTCCTGGAACAAGACTCTTAACTACTTGCCCTGGGAGAGAAGTGGGCCCAATTAAGGTTCGGTTAGGAGACCTTGGGTTTGATTTGGCAGCATCTAGTCAGCTTTTACCTGGTTCTTCTTTTCTTCTCTTTAGAATGATTCAATTTAAGATGCAACTGAGACATTTATCTATACCCAATATGTAAATAAATTAAAGGCAAAGGGACATTTCCCTCACAATAGCCATTGGCTTATGCAGCAGGGAATTCTTCTTTAATAGAAATCTCCTTAATATTAACTTCTTAAGTGTCTAGTGCTGCTGCCTCTGGGTACCTGAGGTGTCTGTAACTGCAGTGGGCACCTTTCGCAAATGTGTAGCTCAGTGGAGACTCTGATGTCAGTTTCTTTTATTACTTTGATATATATGTGCTCAGCTAAGTTAAGCACTTATTTCACAAAGTCCTTAATCTGCTTAATAAATCCTTATAATATTTGGTATAAAACTTTTAAAAAATTAAATTGGAAGGTCTTTGAATTTTCCATTAAATGTTTATTAATAATTATCCCCTCTGGACAGCCTGAGGGGTAAAGTAGATGCTCTATTAGTTCTTCTCTATCTTGTAAGTTCTCTTTTTCTAGAATAATAAATATAGGATTCAATGAAAGATGAGGCACGATTCATAGTTTCCTTTCCTTTTTACTCTCCTTGGTATTTTTTGAGTTAATGGGCTTTTCTGTTGCCACAAAAAATCATTACTAATCATACCGACTTAAAAATGTGGATCTTGAGAGTACAGCTTCACATCAGAGCCTCTGGCAGCATGGACAGTGTTGACACTTTAAAACAGTGTCCAGGAGAGGGTGAGCCCAGGCAAAGCTTATACAAAGAAGCCTGCAGTAGACAATATAAACCAAATAGCATAAAAAAATGCCATACGCTATCGCTTCCAAATAAAAGCTAAATATTACAGAAACCTCACAGTGTTGGAAAAAGCAAGTTTAATTTAAAATATGGCCACTCCTTCCCTATCAGGGTGAGCCATTTTTTGTCTGAATTTCCTCCATGTCTCAGTGCTGCCTGGCAGGGCCTATGGGAGAGTTCATCTCAAAAGAGGTCAACAGCAAATGCTACAGATCTGTGCAGGAAATGTGGCTCATCAACATTGCTAAAGCTATAACCCTCATTCTTTAGCCTTGCTTTCCCCACTTCCCACCCCTCCCCAAACTCCCTTCCACATCTACTCCCTTCATGTGACAACTGTACTCCTACCTGAATTCAAACATGAATAGATATACTCAGTCAAAAGATGAGCATTCATAGTGACAGTTTGAGTGAGGCTCACTGCAGCAACCACAGCAACAAAAGTTCGGCAAATCTAAGTGAAGAACTAAGAATGAAGTGGTGCCTGATGGGGACAAGGGTTTTCATCTGGGCAATTTCATTCTGTTTAGAAACTGACCCAATTTAAAAAGGAAGGTGTATTTTACTAGCACTGGGGGAAAGGACAGGGCACTTTTGCTTTTTTCTCTGATGGACTGAGTATAGGGGGTAAAGCAACAGTAGGGACTATCAAGATTTGGGAGGAAACAGGCCAAGGCCATCAACAATAAACACTTCAGATATGTAGGGGGTGGATTCCTAAGCAGTTACCATACCCTAGAAAACCAAAAGCTCCCAAACCCTGTGGACATGAATGTTCTAGCTCTCCAGGAACATGAAAGACACCGCAGGCTAAGAAGCCACAAGCTGCACTGAAGTGAGAACAGGTGACAGGCATTCAATAAGCCCTGGAGCACCGGCTATCTCTGCCCACCCTCAACTGAGTTCTGAGAAAACCTAAGAACCAATTTAAGCCAAATTATGTGCTTGCCTTAGACCTGAACCAGGGATCTGCTATAGAACTGGGATAGCCAGGAGTGCCCTTTGGCTCAGCATGCAACATGTGCTAGTCTATTGCTTCTTTATATAAACTGCCCCTTCTTTAGAATGAAGGGATATTCACACCAGTCTCAGAAGTATAGAATGATTAAATGACAGCAGCAGGCAGGGAGGGTATGACATATGAAAACCACCCAATTTTGCATGGAGAAATTTGTTCCATGCATCTCACTCCACTCTTCAGCTGCTATCCCCTGAAAAGGAAGTTTGTTTTAAACCCTTGAGGGTTACTTCCCTTGTGGGAATAAACCCTTGAGACTTCATCTCCCATCTTGGAGCCAATCCCGTCCAGCAAGCTGCTAGCCCAGGGCCCCTCCTCACGTACTCTGTCCAGGGCTGCTCACATCCAGAGGGTTCTTCTGGTGTTGCAAGGAGGTCCTGATTAGCAGGGGAATCACATAATGGAGAGAAAACATGGCTGCTCTCCTGCGTGGATATGATTGATTTACTCCCCCTCTTCTCCACCCAGATCCCTCTATATTCAGAAGCAACTGATGAAATGATCTTTATAGAAGTTACTTCTTTTGATTTATTTTATGAAAGGAGGGAATTCCCAAATTCATTGAAAAGAAAGAGACTACAAAATTTATGATAGGACATGAATCACCTGGCACCTTCTACTCTAGACCCAGTGAGGCAAACCTAGTAATCTGTTCCTGCAGTAGCCTTATTTCCTATAAGAGGAAAGATGTATGGACACCAATAGTTTAAAAGCAAGCCAGTCTTTGATACATGCCTCCCATTTCAGGAAAATGTTTGTGGTCTGCCTTCATCGTTGTTGCTGGACTGCACCTGAGATTGGAGATGGGTTTCTGAGATTCTTGCATTGCCCTGCACTGTTCTTTGAGTGTAAAAAAGGATGTAGGCCTGGGTTTTGCATACTTCCTCGACACTGCATACATTCAGCTTTGAGTCATTGCAGTGGACCCAAAAACCTAGGAAACCAACGGAGAAAAAGAGAAATGACTACTCAATTCATATTTCTAGGCAGCAGGCAAAATCAGGAAGTGAAGAAAGGGACAGAGTAGTTCTGAATAGAGCCAACCCTCCATTATTGGTGGTGGGAAAAGGACAAGTAAATGAAACCAGCAGACTTCTGTATATCCACTGGCTTTAACCCCACCAAACCTCACCACAATACTGCTTATCAGCTGACTGCCATTTTTATATTTGTTTTTTTCAGGCTTTTTCATTGTCCATTAGGGCGTTCTAGAAAGATAGCTGCAACACTACAGGCTAAGCACTGGGGAGACGAGGAAGAAGAGGAGGAGAGGAGAAATGGATATAGAGGAGAGTCATAAAGGAAAATTTAAAAGGAATAAAAAAGTATTTGTTCACAGGCTCTGGATGCCCCAAGGGCTGTGCAGTTCAAGAACAGTGAACAGCTGAAAACACATCTGCAGCCCATCAGTCAGTACAGTAGCTGGGAGACTCCACTCTGGAGGATGAGGACTTAAAGCTCCTTTGGAGTGGCCCTTGCATCTCCATACTTCCCATGGCAGGGGAAGTAGTAAGAACATAGTAAGTGCTCAGTAAATGTCTTCAGCTTTATTATAAGCTGAGGCTAGTGAGATTCATACAATATCTCCTTGAGGTTACCCACTTCTGCATAACCAAGAAGGAAACGGGGGTGTGCAGAAGTAGCATTACCACAATAGTAATATCAATAACCAGTACTATTGATAATACTACAGTATCCTCCAACACTGACTGAATAAGCACTATGTGCTAGGCAACTGCTCTTTTTTTTTTTTAAAGAGTGAGGATCTCACTCTGTTGCCCAAGCTAGAATGCAGTGGTGAAATTGTAGCTCACTGCAGCTTCAAACTCCTGGGCTTGAGCAATTCTCTCACCTCAGCCTCCCAAGTAGCTAGGACCACAGGTGCACACCATCACCTGGGTAATTTTTAAATTTTTTGTAGAGATGGGGTCTCACTATGTTGCCCAGGCTAGTCTTGAACTCTTGGCCTCAAGCAGTCCTCCTGCCTCTGCCTCCCAGCGCAGAGGAATTACAGGAGTAAGCCATTGCACAGGGCCTAGGTGCTGTTCTAAGCACTTTTACATGTGAGTTCCTTTTAATTCTTAGAACAACCATATGTTGTTACTTAGTGATATACCCAAAATTTGAATCCAACTTTCATAATTCTTTTTTTTTTTTTTTTTTTTGACAGTAAAGTGTCACTCTGTCACCCAGGCTGGACTGCAGTGGCACAATCTTGGCTCACTGCAACCTTTGCCTCCCAGGTTCAAGCAATTGTCCTGCCTCAGCCTCCTGAGTACCTGGGATTTCCGGTGCCTGCCACCACGCCTGGTTAACTTTTGTACTATTTCAGTAGAGACAGGGTTTTACCACGTTGGCCAGGCTGGTCTCAAACTCTTGACCTCAAGTGATCCACCCACCTCAGCCTCCCAAAGCGCTGAGATTACAGGTGTGAGCCACAGCACCCGGCCCAACTTCATAATTCTTTCCATTGGATTTTGATGTATGTAATTTCCCTCTAGGTAATCCATGGGATAAAAATAAAAGGAAAACAGTAAAATGTGGAGAAATCAACCCCTTTCCGTGTCCCCCACCCCACAGAGTAAAGCGCACGCACCTCCCTCTGTGTTGTAGCAATAGGCTGTGTAGTGTCCTGAGCCAAACCCTTTCCCGTGATGCATGACCACTGCGGAGAGATCATAGGCAAAGGTCTCTTTGTCAAGAGAGGAGAGCATGTCCCTGCAGCAGTAAGGTTCCATGGTTAATACCTGGTCAAAGACGACATGGACCCCAATCTTCTCTCGATGATTACGGCCAGACCACCTAGAACATGGATATAAGCTTGTTACTAGTAAAAACTGGCATATACAATCATAGGTAGAGGCAGGTAATAATAAAACAGGAAACTGAGAAAATTTAACCTTCTGGCCTTGGTTTTCCGTCAATAAAATGGTGATAATCAATGTTTACATTTATTTATTTTCAGAAAGGTTCTCACTCTGTTGCCCAGGCTGGAGTGCAATGGTATGATCAAGGCTCACTGCAGCTTCAACCTTCCTAAGCTTAGGTGATCCTCCCACCTCAGCCTCCCGAGTAGAGGGGACTATAGGCGCACACTACCATGCCTGGATAATTTTTGTATTTTTTGTAGAGACAGAGTTTTACCATGTTGCCTAGGCTGGTCTCAAACTCCTGAGCTCAAGTGATCTGCCTTCCTTGGCCTCCCAAAGTGCCAAGGTTACAGTCATGAGCTGCTGCACCTGGCCCATTTATTTGCTACGAATGTTCTATGAAGGACTCTGAACCTAGAGATCCCTAAACAAGCAATTCAAGCAACAGTCTTTCTGTAGTTTCCTGCTTACCCCTTTTCCAGATTATTTTATATTTCATCTACGTAAGTCCAAGCCAGGCTAGAAAATCTTTAAGCGCAGACACCCAGTGGAGGCTGGATAATTAATTACACAGGAGCATGAGAGCAAAAGCCCAATCCTGCTGGGTTCCCATATCAATTTGTCTTAGCAGATGTGAATGATCTAATCTCCATGGAAAACACAAGGTCTCAAGCAAACAGGCTTCCCCTCCCAACACCAAAAAAGACATGCGCCCTCACCAAAGCCTTTAGAGCAGCTATTCCCACAGCTCTCACCCAGCTGGGGGCTCCCACAGCAAGCTCACCTGAATCTTTTAAGGTGCAGCCGGAGGACCTGAGGTAGTCTGTAGATCATTAACTGCTTTCTAGCTTCACTCAGAACAAGGGGTTTGGGATTGGATTTTCGTCGTTTGCCTATGTGGTTTGGGAAGGTAGGTATAAGACATAGATTGTGAGGAGTCTTTTTCTAGCTATGGCAGAAACAGTGACTTGCCATTCAATATGCATTCTCCATATTTCTCAGTATCTGAAACTCAATTTTATTTGGGGCACAGTGTGACCCTCTTTCTACATTTCCCAGCTTCACGTGCCTGCATGGTGTGGTCATAGAAGGGCTGGCTAAGCTGAAAGGAATGACCATGTGGCACTCTGCTTAGACAGAACTGACTCAGTTGTAAGGTGCAGCCCTTTGGCCTGCCCACTATCTGAAACTACTGGAATTCCTCCTGGACCAAAAGGTAACTTTGAAGACAGAAATCTTGCAATAGGATTGTAAAACAGAAAGACAGAAATAGCTTGGGTCACTGATGACCATGCAGCCACCATGCTGGCCCTGAATGTCCTTCAGACTTGTTTTATGTAACAGAAAAATAAAATCTCTCATTTTAAGTCATTGTTATTTGGGTCGACTGTTAGAAGCAATCCAAATATTTCAAACTTTTGCCATCAGCAACTTTGCATATGATGGAATATAATAGAATGTGCAGCAGCAAGGACATAGAGTAGAAGCGTATGTTAAGGCTCCATGTCTTCATAATAGCTTATAACTTCAATTATGATACCCCATAATATGATTTTAAAAAGCTTTTTGTTTGCACTAGGTAAGCCTAATTCTGCTTGCTGCTCACAACTAGTTGTGTGCTAATGGATAAGTTATTCAAAACTCTGAACCTCAGTTTCCTCACCAGTAAAACAGAGACTAATGCATATATTTCAGGCTTAGGAAAAAGATAAATAAGGATAAGATTACTAAAGGATAGAGCATGTAAACGCATCTTTTCTTTAGCATGATTTGCTTATAGCATATTCAAATATTTAGAATATAAACTTTGTTGGTTCTATGTTTTTATGCTGTCCTAGTTTTTGAAACACATTTGCTGTATAAAAGCACCCTGCTGGACATGCAAAGACAAAGCTGACAGGTGGCTAAATTTATCAGCTCCAAAGCAGAACCAGTGATCAGTCTCTAATGTTGTTTCTAACTGTGGGGGAAATGTATTTCTTGAATTCCTGGCCTCAAGCAGTCCTCTCACCCTGGCCTCCCAAAGTATTGGGATTATGAGTGTGAGCCCACTATGCCCAGCCTTGAGGAAATGTATTTCTAAACTTCAGCAAATAAACAATGGAAATAAAGTTATCTTAGTTTCTATCAGAAGCCTTCCCTGTAACCATTTAGTGATGACTGTTTTGTTACATTAAATTGGTAAATGGATGAGAGTAGAAAATTAGTGGTCTACTGCAGTCCCTGTTAATTGTCTTGAGCTATTAATATCATGGGCTTAGTGTTGGAAGAGCTGGGCATCTGATACCAAGTCCTGTCTCTACTACTCATGAAAGGTAGCAAATCACAGCCAGATGATGTATTGCAGAGCTGTGACAATAGGATGTGGACGTGTAGCTTCTTATAATAGACTGCATCAGAATGAGTGTGCCATAGGAGAAGCTTTTACCAGGGTGTGCAGTCACAACATGTGGGAGCATGAACAGATATATAATTCAAAGAGGGGCTTGGTGTTATTTTATATTCCAGTTCACCATATTTTTTGAAAATTACTGCAGCTCTGGCTAGGAACCCTGGCAGTGACTGCCACCCTCAGCAGAGGGAGTAAGTGAGCTAAGATGAAGACAATGTAAGTCAGGCTTTGTTTCCCTAAAATGAAATTCACGAAGAAAAAGAAATTACTGATTCAATTGAGATTGATCAGTTCTGTCTCCATTTGATTAAGCTGGCCAGGAAGACAGGTAGAAGACTGACAGTTTTGAAACTTCACAGGCAACAGATCAATGCATCTCATCCCTTCACCATAGGTTTCCTTCTCTGGCATTATTTGCACTTGCCTAGAGAAATCCTAATAAATTGGCACATCTGACAACCAGAAGAACAATCCTTTCTTGTAAAAATAAACAAAAGTGTTTCTTGCCTAATCTATCATATCAAAAATAATGGAGTTAAAGCTGTTAATATTCTTTTGCTCCCTACAAGTAAAAGGCTTCCTGAATCACTATTTTTTTTTAAATTACTCTAATGAAACAATTTGATTCACCTGACTGTATCTCAAAATGGAACAGAATCGGTGAGTCTACAGTTAACCAGGTATAAAATTTCAAATTTTGTTTTCAAGTGGCAAAATGATATCAAGCATAACTCTGTGTGTGTGTGTGTCTGTGTGTGTTTCCCTAAACAAGGTCTTGCTATGCTACCCAGGCTGCTCTCAAACTCCTGGCTTCAGGCAACCCTCATGCCTTAGCCTCCCAAAGTGTTGGGATTACAGGTGTGAGCTATGCACCTGGCCTCAAGCCTGACTTTTGATTTTTGTTCTGATTCTTCAAAGAGCAGAACAGGTTTCACACAATTTACTATTTTTTAAAACCACGTGCGAAATATATCAAGAAATTCTAGTGTGTGTGTGTGTGTGTGTGTGTGTGTGTGTGTGTTGAGATCTGATCTCACTGCGTCACCCAGGCTGGAGTACAGTGGCAAAGTCACTGCAGCCTTGACTTCTGGGGCTCAAGCAATCCTCCTACCTCAGCCTCTGAGGAGCTGGGACTAAAAGTGCATGCCACCACATCCAGCTAATTTTTGTATTTTTTTGTAGAGATGGGGTTTCAACATATTGCCTAAGTTGGTCTCGAACTCCGGGGCTTAAGCAATCTGCTCACCTTGGGGCCTCCCAAAGTGCTGGGATTACAGGCATGACCTACCACTCCTGGCCTAAGATTTTTTTTCTTTAAAACCTGTAATCTAAACTATTATGTGGCTGAAAACTGATTTCTAGTTCTCTGCACAATCCGTTAACTTTATACTTTTAGTTTCCAAATCTATATATGCCACAAACCCCAAACATGAGCAGCCACATGTTTGCTCTGCATTTCCTCTGTCCATGCTGGGTTAGCAGAAGCATTAAGTGTTAGTATGGCAAGACAGAGGGCCCTGTATAACATGCCTCCGTAACCATATGTAAAGAGTTCCACTTTAAAATTACAGACGGCCGGGCGCGGTGGCTCAAGCCTGTAATCCCAGCACTTTGGGAGGCCGAGGCGGGTGAATCACGAGGTCGAGAGATCAAGACCATCCTGGTCAACATGGTGAAACCCCGTCTCTACTAAAAATACAAAAAATTAGCTGGGCACGGTGGCGCGTGCCTGTAGTCCCAGCTACTCGGGAGGCTGAGGCAGGGGAATTGCCTGAACCCAGGAGGCGGAGGTTGCGGTGAGCCGAGATCGCGCCATTGCACTCCAGCCTGGGTAACAAGAGCGAAACTCCGTCTCGAAAAAAAGAACAAAAAAAAAAAAAAAAAATTACAGACATGACACAGAAATACCTCCTTATGACCTTCTCTGAAATATGAACTTTTCAGGCATGTGAAGAATAAAAAAAAATTCAGAAAATATTTCATAAAGCTGCCATTGAGAAAGCACTTGAAGGCTTGCTTTCTTGGTTCTGTTGTACCAATCTTTAGCATCACTCCTGACAGACATTAAATCTACTAGTTGAGTACAAAGGCATGCTTTTCTTTCTTTCTTTCTTTTTGAGAGAGTCTCTGTTGCCCAGGCTGGAGTGCAATGGTACAATCTCAGCTCATTGCAACCTCCCAACCCCAGGTTCAAGTGATTCTCCTGCCTCAGCCTCCTGAGTAGCTGCTATTATAGGCACCTGCCACCACGCCCAGCTAATTTTTGTATTTTTAGTAGAGACAGGGTTTTGCCGGGTTGGCCAGGCTGGTCTCAAACTCCTGACCCCAGGTGATCCACCCATCTTGGCCTCCCAAAGTGCTGAGATTACAGGTGTGAGCTACCACACCTGGCCAAAAGCATGCTTTTCTGATATTGCACCCCTCAAAGAAGCTATACCATCTGAGTTTAGATTAAGTAAGAACTGTCAAGACTCTACATTCATGAATTTAAGCAGGAGCCCCGTAGCACTAAGAAGCTAAGTACTAACATTCTGAGTCCCCATTTCAGGAGCCACACTTTGAAATCCCTTCCAAGATGACAACTAAAAAAAGGTCAATTAGGAGATCACTCATCTCCTAGGTCTTTGTTTTGTTTTTTGTTGTTGAGATGGAGTTTTGCTCTGTTGCCCAGGCTGAAGTGCAATGGCGCCATCGAGGCTCACTGCAGCCTCCGCTTCCCGGATTCAATTGATTCTCCTGCCTCAGCCTCCCAAGTAGCTGGGATTACGGGCACCTGCCACCATGTGGCGGTATTTTTAGTAGAGACATGGTTTCCCCATGTTGGTCAGGCTGGCCTCAAACTCCTGACCTCAAGTGATCCACCCACCTCGGACTCCCAAACTGTTGGGATTACAGGTGTGAGCCACCATTCCCAGCCTTGTTTTGTTTTTTAATACATAATTAAAACAAGTCCATGTTTTTCTTTTTAGAAAAATGGGAGAAAAGATCTTTAAAGATGCTTTAGAACCATTCAATATCATTAGTGTTACTTTTGACTCAAGGGGACAAAGCAGCACCTTAAACTGATATTCCAGTTATACTTCCCCACTACACCCCCTCCTCCACACAGCACTCACTGTTACACTGGTCACAAGCGTAGATTCTCCCTTCCAGGGCCTCTGTCTCTGTGAACTTGGCCAGCATCTCAGTGAGCAAGCACTCTGTCTGATTTAAAGGGACAAACCCCTTTTCTATGCAGTGATAGCGTTCAGGGAATTCCAGGGACAGGTCCCAAAAGGGCTCAATGGTATTGGATTTGTAATTGCATGATACACATGTGACCTAGAATGAAAAGATTGATTTACAGATTATAGAATTTCCATGCTTCCTGCATACAGTTTTACTTACTTCATAAAAGACACACTTTATCAAAACTAGGTATATAATTTGCGAAAAACAGTAATATTAAAGTAGTAAACATAACTTTAAAAGAATTAGAGTATATTACTTCTGATATACATTTCTAACTATGGGATGCTAGCTGGAATTTAAAAACCATACTGCATAGAGATTATACCAACCCCTCTTTTCTATTCTCCTCTCCCCAGTATGCTCTACCATTCAACAGTACAGAAGTATGGACTGCAAGTTATTGTGCATTCATTCAAGGGATCAGTCTAATATAGAGAATTTGCAGGTCCCTGCCTGCTTCCCCAACCCTGGCATTCCTCCTCTTGACTTTAGACCGTCTATGCAGTCCAGCATGGCTTTCTTTTTGCCTTTGTTTCTTGCAGAAGGCCTACACTGAACCCCTCTGTCTGCAGAGCCTCAAAGTGCTGGGATTAGACCTCCACTCCCACTATAGCCTCCCCAAGTGCACCTTTCTTCCTGAGGGAAGGGGAGACAGAAGAAGTGCTGATAAATACTCCCCTTTTACATGCTCAAAAACAAAAGCCTAATTAAGGTTTCCATCCCATTCATCATTCTTTCAAAACCCTAAAAACCAAGACACAAGCATAGGGTAGAGGTTTTAACCTGATTCTCTTAAGTTGCCCACCAACCATTACCCTGCCTCCCTTTTTTTTGAGACAGTCTTCCTCTGTCACCCAGGCTGGAGTGCAGTGGTGCAATCTCAGCTCACTGCAACCTCTGCCTCCTAAGTACAAGTGATTTTCCTGTCTCAGCCTCCCAAGTACCTGGGATTACAGGCATGTGCCACCATGCCCGGCTAATTTTGTATTTTTAATAGAGACAGGGTTTTACCATGTTGGTCAGGCTAGTCTCTAATTCCTGACATCAGGTGATCCACCCACCTTGTCCTCCTGAAGCACTGGGATTACAGGCGTGAGCCACTGTGCCCGGCACACCTGCCTTTTTTAACTATAAAAATACTCTTTCTGCATATTCTCTCAAGACGTTATCTAAGAATCTTTGCCTAGGTTATATGGTTAAAGATCCAGGAGATAAAAAGTAATAGGGAACAGGAAGGAGGCTTGCTTGCATTATGGCCTTTACCACGATCTCAGCTACCTTCCTTCCTTGTATGTAAAGAAGGGAGATTGCTCTTTCAAACTATTACGGAACCAGGGTTACAGGCAAACTCTGTTCCCTAAAATTGATCAAAGGATGGCACACCAACAATGGGTACTTAATTATAACAATGAGAATATGATAGTACCCATACCTTCAATAACAGTTAAATATATCCACTGAAAATAAAGCAATGTGGCAAGTTAAACTAAAAATCTGGCCGGAAAGACACTAGGCAAGTTTCCCCATAAGGCCATCATATGTACAGTAGAATGAAAGGTACAAATGAACACTCTCAAAAATGCATAATCACAGCAAATGTTGGCTACTCTTACTAGCCCAGTAACCTGGGAGAGGCACTCACAGGAAGCCCAAGCTAACATATAAGCTTCCACTGTCATGGTAGGCACACACATACCTGACTGAGCAGCTGCCCATGAAATATGGTATTCACCACCTTTAAGACCTGTTTGGTGAGCTTCCTCTGGGAGAAGGGGATGAGGATCCGGCGCGTGGTGCCCTCAGATTCGAGCTCCTGCTGCACTTTGTGGAGCAGCTCGCAGAGAAACTCCTGAGCGTCCTGTTGGTCATAGCCGCGGAAGGCAGGGATCAGGCTCCATACTGAGTGAAGCATGGCGAAGGGCGACACTAAGGCCCACTTCCCGGACCACATGACTCGGAAGAGGGTGTGCAGTTCACGGCAGAGGGAAATGTGCTTTGAGCTCGGCTCCTTGTTCTGGATGAGCTCCAGGCTCCGACTGATGGAGGCCCCGCTGTTCCAGCAGAAGCCCTCCCGCTCGCACACCTCGGCCCTGTCACTCCTCAAGGACAGTTCCGTGGCCGAGCTGCTGGTTGTCTTGCCAGAAAGCTGAGTCTTCCCGTTGGTGGCTTTGGGAAACAGATGTTCCGTTTTGGAAGGGTCAAGGTTGAGGAAACATTCTCGGAACTTCTGGAGGTGGCTGAGCACCTGGAGGATGGAGTTCATGTAGCAGGTGTTGCCCAGGTTGCGCAGGCCCGTGACGCCCGGGGCCACAGCAGGCTGGCGACGCAGCTTGAGCGCAGCGGCGGGCGCTCTGCGTGAGGTAGGAAGGGCAGTGGGGCGCGTGGCGGCCGGGCCCGCGTTGCGGGGCGCATGTAGGAGCAGCCGTGCACTCTTGCGCGGAGGGGCGCTGGCCAGCTCCTCCAGCAGCCGCCGCTTCACCTCGCGCCGCCGTCGCCGTGCCTCCTCCTTCTTGCGCTCCAGCGCCTCCTCCTGCCGCCGCTGCTCCAGCTTCGCCTGGCCCCGGGAGCTCTTCTCGAACCACAGCCGTAGCGTCTTGGCCAGCAGGCGCTGGCGCCGGTACCACAGAGCCGTGAGCATCTGCGGCTGTCCCTGAGGAGCGCGCTGCGGCGGGACCACGTCCTCGCCCGAAGCCGTGGACCGCAGCGTCCGCCCGCGTCTCACCGGCAGGTCCTGCTTCTGGCCCCGGACCGCCAGGAGGGAGCTTCTCAGCAGCTTCAGGTCCCCCTCCGGGTTATCATTGAGCACGTAGTCCTTGCACAGGTAACAGAACACATAGAGATCCCAGACTTCCATGGCTAGCGGGTGTCCAGTCTCCTCAAAGTGTTTTAGGGCGTGGTCCTCAATGTAGCGGCCACAGGCCACGTGCGAGCACTTGAGGCAGGCCCACACGGACTCGGTGGTGGCACACTCTAAGCAGCACCACTTCTGAGGGTTCAGGATGGAGTGGTCCTGGGCGAGCCGTAACCGCCCTACATGTTTGCATCTATCCATGTCTTACAGAAGTCGCCACTCTCTCAACCTGGCATGACAGAGTCCCCAAAAAAGAAAAAGAAAACACTTTCAGAAAAAACATTTTCCTTAAAAAAAAAAAAAAAAAAAAAAAAAGACAAAAAGGCTTGCAATTGGTATTTCAACTCTAGATTCATTCATTTTCAATTCCAAATTGGTTCCTTTGAAAGTTAAAAAAAAAAAAAAGGCACATTTGGTATAAAGGCGGAGAATTACAGGACAGTTAAATTACTTAAAAAGAAGTATCATACGGAAGGGTTAGCACAAATTTGAAACTTTATGGTGTTTCACATTCCAGTGAGTGAGACGAAGAGCCTCAAATAAAAAGTCAATATTAGGTTGGATGCAATATAATGCAAAGCAGAGGTATCAGGATATAAGGTAAAAATACGAAAGTCCTCAACAGTACAAAGTATCATTTTTATGAGACGTTGCTAAGGAACATTGTCTATGTGGGTTTTTTTATTTTGTTTTGAGAGGGAGTCTCACTCTTATTGCCCAGGTTGGAGTGCAGTGGCGGAATTTCACCTCATTGCAACCTCTGCTTCCCGGCTTCAAGCGATTTTCCTGCCTCAGCCTCCCAGGAAACTGATATTACAGGTGCGTGTCACCACGCCTGGCTAATTTTTTTGTATTTTTAGTAGGGACGAGGTTTAACCATGTTGGCCAGGCTGGTCTCAAACTCCTGACCTCAAATGATCCACCCACCCACCTCAGCCTCCCAAAGTGCTGAGATTACAGGCATGAGCCACCAGGCTTGGCCTGTTTTTTAGAGACAGGTCTGTGTTGCCCAAGCTGGTCTTGAGCTAGCCTCAAGTGATCCTCCCGCCTCAGCCTCCCAAAGTGCTGGGATTACAGGCATGAGCCACTGCACCCAGCCAACATCTGTCTTTTTGAAAAGAACATCTGCATCTTGCAGTAAGGGTAGGAAAACTTACCTTCTTTACTGAAAGGATAGGTAAGTAAAGAATTGGACAAATCTGACTTAGGACAAGAGATAAAGTGGCTACTGGTATTATAATAGTTAACCAAACCACCGAAATAACAACAACAACAACAAAAAAAAAAAAAACAACGAATCTTCCAGATATATATATATGTATGAAAATGCTTTTTAAAACAGTGGTAACATCCTAATCATGTTTATTTTTTTCTATTCCCAACAATGCTTCTTCAGTATTGTTCATCAGAGAAGCCTTGTGGGCAATTTCTCCAAGGGAAAGAAGCTATACAACTATTTTAAAAGAAAACTTTTATGTCTTTGAAACTTTGAAGGCGTTTTCCCCTCAATACCAGAACTTTAAATTCCCTAGGCTAGGCACAGTGGCTTGCACACTTTGGGAGGCTAAGGTGGGAGCTTGAGGCCAGGAGTTCAAGACCAGCCTGGCCAACACAGACCTCTTTCTATCTATCTATTTACTTATATATTTACATATTGTGAGACAGGGTCTCACTCTGTCACCCAGGCTGGAGTGCAGTGGTGTGATCTTCTCTCACTGCAGCCTCCACCTCCTGGGCTCAAGTTATCCTCCTACCTCAGCCTCTAGAGTAGCTGAGACCATAGGTGCATGCCACCATGCCCAGCTAATTTTATTTTTTGTAGAGATAGGGTCTATGAGGCTGGGCGCAGTGGCTCACGCCTGTAATCCTAGCACTTTGAGAGGCCAATGCAGGCAGATCATGAGGTCAGGAGTTCCAGACCAGCCTGGCCAACATGGCAAAACCGCATCTCTACTAAAAAATGCAAAAATTAGCTAGGTGTGGTGGCAGGCACCTGTAATTCCAGCTACTCGGGAGGCTGAGGGAGGAAAATTGCTTGAAATCGGGAGGTGGAGGGTACAGTGAGCCAAGATCGTGCCACTGCACTCTAGCCTGGGCGACAAGAGCAAGACTCTGTCTCAAAAAAAAAAAAAAAAAAAAAATGGGGTCTATGTTGCACAGGCTGGTCTGGAACTTAGGGGTACAAGTGATTCTCCTGCCTTGGCCTCCCAAAGTGTTAGGATTACAGGTGTGAGCCACCACACCTGGCCTCATCTCTTAAAAGTAAAAAAAAAAAAAAAAAAAAAAGACTAGGCATGGTGGCTCACACCTGTAATCCCAGGAATTTGGGAGTCCAAGGTGGGTGAATCATCTGAGGTCAGGAGTTTGAGACCAGCCTGACCAACATGGTGAAACCCCGTCTCTACTAAAAAAATAAAAATAAACAAAAATTAGCCGGACATGGTAGCAGGCACCAGTAGTCCCAGCTACTTGGGAGGCTGAGGCAGGAAAATCGCTAGAACCCAGGAGGCAGAGAGTGCAGTAAGCTGAGATCGCACCATTGCACTCCAGCCTCAGGGACAGCGTGAGACTCTGTCTCAAAAATAAAAATAAAGAAATAAATAAATAAGGCTGGGCGCGGTGGCTTATGCCTGTAACCCCAGTACTTTGGGAGGCCAAGGAGGGCAGATCACCTGAGGTTGGGAGTTCAAGACCAGACTGACCAACATGGAGAAACACCATCTCTTCTAAAAATACAAAAAATTAGCCAGGCATGGTGGCACATGCGTGTAATCCCAGCTACTCGGGAGGCTGAGGCAGGAGAATCGCTTGAACCTGGGAGGCGGAGGTTGCAGTGAGCCGAGACTGCGCCACTGCACTACAGCCTGGGTGACAAGAGCAAAACTCCGTCTCAAAAATAATAATAATAAATAAATAAATAATTAAATTCCCTAAAGTGAATTCTCAATCCTCTTTCAAAGTAAATTTCTTTCACCTCCATTTATTCTCTACTTTTGATTTCTGAGAGCAAATGCAGTTTCATGATTAAGAGGTCAACCCAGAAAAGTTCTAAATCCAGTGTACTCTGAGTAGCCCCTTTAATTTTCCAGATGCCTTGTTTGGCCTAGTCCTATTTATGTATGCCAAAACCCATAAATAAATAAATATACTGCAGGACAGAATTAGAGAATCTTCCCTTTTTTATTGCCTGTTCCAGATGGCAGAGGCATGTCTTTATATAAGAAATCCTCAAATCATACAAAGGGATGCGATCTACACTACTCTCAAGCCAGATCATGATTTTCTTATTGCTAAGCGCCCTTTAGGTCATTTTCTGGATGTGTTTACCCACTTTTCTATTGAGATATACAGTAGTCTCCCATTATACATGGTTTCACTTTCTAAGGTTTCAGTTACCTGTTGTACAGTACGGTAAGATAGTCTGAAAAACAACATTCACATAATTTTTATTAAAGTATACTGTTATAATTGTTCTATTTTAATATGTTATTGTTAGTCAATTACTATACCTCATTTATAAACTAAACTTTATCATAGGTATGTATGTACAGGAAAAAAACATAGTATACATAGGGTTCGGTACTATCTGTGGTTTCAGGCATCCAGGAGGAGTCTTGAAAAATATCCCCTATGGGGGAATACTGTAATCTTCAGAGAGGAGATTATGTATATTTCTGTTTTTATACCCTTACCCCCTTATAATGCCAAAACTTGTGGGTGCTCAACTCTTAGTGGTCAAAAGTATTCTGTCAGAATTACCTTCTGGCACTGTCTGCAATAGTACTGAAATAACCATTTTTGTTGACTTTTCTTAGTGCACAGCCAAATCAAAACACACATACATTAAAAGATGGAACAGTAAATAAATGAATTTTCTTTTTGCTACTTACTACCAACTGAGGGTGCAAATTGAGTACACACTGATGCTTACAACTAATTCCTGTGGACACAAAAGAAAGTAATGAAGGAATGAAGAAGAGGGGAAAAAAAATCAAGATACAGGCAATTCCCAAGTTTCTCACTAATTTAATATTCTTTCAAAATTTAGTCCCTGAACTACCTACCAACATCCGAATTCCCCAAGCTACTGGTTATATATACAGATTTCCTGCTTACTACTCCAGTCCTGATGAATACGAATCTGGAGAGACTTCTAAAATCTCCAACTTAAACAAGCTGTATAGCTGATTCTTTTGCACATTAAAACCTTAGTCATCCAGTAAATTATATAGGGATGAAAGACTCTTCATAGAAATCAAAGAAAGAATTATTATTTCTCCAATTCTTCCACTTAGACTAATACTGTCCAATAGAACTTTTTGCAATGATATATTCTCTATATATCAATGAGATATATTTTAATTTGTATATATCTTTATATTCTCTATATATCACTGATCAATCAATATATATCATTGATAACATTGAGAACAGAGAATATGTACAGATAATGATATTATCAATTATTGATAATATTCTCTATCTGTATTTATTACAGTGCCATCTAGTACTATAGTAACTAGTCACATGTGACTACTGAGCACTTGAAATGTGCTAGTGAGACTGAGGGGCTGAACTTTTAATTAATTTTAATTTAAAGTCACATGTGGCTAGTGGCTATGGTATTATATTGAGACAGCACAGACTTACATACACCGGGACACACTATCTTTAGCTTGCTTTTCTTTTCTTTTTGTTTTCTTTCCTTTGAAAGATTCGGTACTAGCTAAATTGTATCTGAATAGCCTCCTCTTGTAACTCAAAACCTGATGCCTGGCAGATCCCCGTTTTAGCTTTGATGTGTCTTCGGGAATTTAATTGCTACCAAGATCTTATCATATGAAATACAGCAGAGCTTCAAATCCTACAAAGAGAGAATTATTTCTGTAAATAGGAATATAGCAATACCACACCCAGAACACTGATGCCTTGCAAAATCAGCTCCTGTGCTAAAAAAATATGCTGGAACAACCAAAAGCCAAAAGAGAGGAACACTAAAAAACCATTTCACATCCTCTCCATGGAGAGCTGTCAAATGAAAAGGGCACTCTGGAAATTCTTTCTTCTGATTTCATTTTCTGATCTATAAATCTGCTGATCACGCACATCCTCTCCTGCACAGCCCTTTTCCCATAACAAATCTGTCGTGGCGACTCGCTAACCTGCCATATGGGCAGAGTAAATCCATTCAGGAAAACACAGGGCTACTTTGCACCTCACCATACTGAT